AACATGTGGAAGAAGGTGCTCTGGTCAGATGAAACCAAAATCAAACTTTTTGGCCACAATGCAAAACGATATGTTTGGCGTAAAAGCAACACAGCTCATCACCCTGAACACACCATCCCCACTGTCAAACATGGTGGTGGCAGCATCATGCTTTGGGCCTGCTTTTCTTCAGCAGGGACAGGGAAGATGGCTAAAATTGATGGGAAGATGGATGGAGCCAAATACAGGACCATTCTGGAAGAAAACCTGTTGGAGTCTGCAAAAGACCTGAGACTGGGACGGAGATTTATCTTCCAACAGGACAATGATCCAAAACATAAAGCCAAATCTACAATGGAATGGTTCACAAATAGACGTATCCAGGTGTTAGAATGGCCAAGTCAAAGTCCAGACCTGAATCCAATCCAGAATCTGTGGAAAGAGCTGAAGACTGCTGTTCACAAACGCTCTCCATCCAACCTCACTGAGCTCCAGCTGTTTTGCAAGGAAGAATGGGCAAGAATTCCAGTCTCTCGATGTGCAAAACTGATAGAGACAAACCCCAAGCGACTTGCAGCTGTAATTGCAGCAAAAGGTGGCCCTACAAAGTATTAGCGCAAGGGGGCCGAATAATATTGCATGCCCCACTTTTCAGTTTTTATTTATTAAAAAAGTTTAAATTATCTAATAAATTTCGTTCCACTTCACGATTGTGTCCCACTTGTTGATTCTTGACAAAAAATTAAATTTTTATATCTTTATGTTTGAAGCCTGAAATGTGGCGAAAGGTTCAAGGGGGCCGAATACTTTCGCAAAGCACTGTATATATAAGGTCCCACAGAAAGGCACACACCTGTATATATAAGGTCCCACAGAAAGGCTCACACCTGTATATATAAGGTCCCACAGAAAGGCACACACCTGTATATATAAGGTCCCACAGAAAGGCACACACCTGTATATATAAGGTCCCACAGAAAGGCACACACCTGTATATATAAGGTCCCACAGAAAGGCACCTGTATATATAAGGTCCCACAGAAAGGCATACACCTGTATATATAAGGTCCCACAGAAAGGCACCTGTATATATAAGGTCCCACAGAAAGGCTCACACCTGTATATATAAGGTCCCACAGAAAGGCTCACACCTGTATATATAAGGTCCACAGAAAGGCTCACACCTGTATATATAAGGTCCCACAGAAAGGCTCACACCTGTATATATAAGGTCCCACAGAAAGGCACACACCTGTATATATAAGGTCCACAGAAAGGCACCTGTATATATAAGGTCCCAATGAGCACAGAGGCCTCCATGATCCGTAAATGGAAGAACCACCAGGACTCTTCCTAGGGCTGGCCGGCCTCTGAACTGAGCGATCGGGGGAGAAGGGCCTTAGTCAGGGAGGTGACTAAGAACCCCATGGTCACTTTGTCAGAGCTCCAGCGTTCCTCTGTGGAGAGAGGAGAACCTTCCAGAAGGACAACCTTCTCTGCACCAATCCACAAATCAGGCCTGTGTGGTAGAGTGGCCCGACGGAAGCCGCTCCTTAGTTTGGAGTTTGCCAAAAGGCTCCTGAAGGACTCTCAGACCATGAGTAAAAACATTCTCTGGTCTGATGAGACAGAGATTGAAGTCTTTGGTGTGAATGCCAGGCGTCATGTTTGGATGAAACCAGGCCCTGCTCATCACCGAGCCAATACCATCCCTACAGTGAAGCATGGGGGTGGTAGCATCATGCTGTGGGGATAATACCATCCCTACAGTGAAGCATGGGGGTGGTAGCATCATGCTGTGGGGATAATACCATCCCTACAGTGAAGCAGGGGGGTGGTAGCATCATGCTGTGGGGATAATACCATCCCTACAGTGAAGCATGGGGGTGGTAGCATCATGCTGTGGGGATAATACCATCCCTACAGTGAAGCATGGGGGTGGTAGCATCATGCTGTGGGGATAATACCATCCCTACAGTGAAGCATGGGGGTGGTAGCATCATGCTGTGGGGATAATACCATCCCTACAGTGAAGCATGGGGGTGGTAGCATCATGCTGTGGGGATAATACCATCCCTACAGTGAAGCATGGGGGTGGTAGCATCATGCTGTGGGGATGTTTTTCAGCGGCAGGAACTGGGAGACCAGTCAAGATAGAGGGAAAGATGAATGCAGCAATGTACAGAGACATCCTGGATGAAAACCTGCTCCAGAGCTCCTGACCTCAGACTGGGGCGACGGTTCATCTTTCAGCAGGACAACGACCCTAAGCACAGCCACGATAACAAAGAAGTGGCTTCAGGACAACTCTGTGAATGTCCTTGAGTGGCCCAGAGCCCAGACTTGAATCCAACTGAACATCTCTGGAGAGATCTGAAAATGGCTGTGCACCGACACTCCCCATCCAACTGGATGGAGCTTGAGAGGTTCTGCAAAGAGGAATGGGCCAAAACTGCCCAAAGACAGGTGTGCCAAGCTTGTGGCATCATAGTCACAAAGACTTGAGGCTGTAATTGCTCCGAAGGTGCATCAACAAAGTATTAAGCAAAGGCTGTGAATACTTATGTACATGTGCAACCTTAGTTTTAATACATTTGCAAGAATCTCTAAAAAACTGTTTTCATGTTGTCATTAGAATTGTAGGCTGTAACAAAACAAAATGTGGAAAAAGTGAAGTGCTGTAAATACTTTCAGGATGCACTGTATACTTCCAATTTCTACCAAAATAATTTGCTCAGTGGGAGGGGCCAGGAGCCGTGTGTGGCACAGTCTGCTGGTTACAGGAGGTAACTTGAAACTTAAAGGTGACCTATGCGTCAGTGTGAACTTGTTTTTTTGTTGCTAATTTCACAGTAAATACGCTCTGCCTTCACCATTTGCAGAAGATAAACCACCTAAGCACTGGACTTTAAGCAACCCACAACAGTCAGAGAGGGTGTGCGTGTTCGTGGGGCGCTACTCCCTGGGGGAAGAGTTTTAACTGGATTCAGAATGTTCTTATCATTAACTATGATGGAGCTCGAGTTGGCTGCATGACCATCTGCATTAGTGCCATTCATGAAACAATCAAAAACTAATGTCAACAAATACAAAAAGCTTCTAGATTTACTATAGCAGATTATCACAGATTATTACAGATACAGTTCACAGAGAACTCTTTAAACTCTGTCATGAATGAAACAATAACACGTCCGTCTTGTTCAAAGACGTCGTGTCGCAGCAAAAACAAACTGTATCTGAGTCATCTTTAATTGTTTAGCACATTTCATTTGTACAAAGTGGTATTTATTCAGCAATTACTAATCTAGACATTTCAGTCAGTTATAGAGCAGTGTTTCCCAACCTCTGAGCCGTGGCACCTGTCAATCACCCCTTAATCACCCGTCAATCACCCGTCAACCACCCGTCAACCACCCGTCAACCACCCGTCAATCACCCCTCAATCACCCGTCACAGGTGCCACAGTGCGGCGGCTGCGGCTGTAAAGGATCCCATTAAATATAGAACTTCACGAACCACCAGAGCAGTGAGTTTTACTTCATTTAAAGGTCTGAGGTGGAGGTCTGATAATGTTAATGATAATGTTGGGGAACATATGAACTAGAGGAGGATCTTTGAGTGACAGCACAGAAAGCTGCCTGGATGCTAGAGAGTTAGCTAGTTTTAGACGTTTGGAGAGAGGTTTTACTAAATCAAATGGTCCACTCTTGTTGTGTGGTCGGTTGTATGGCCCGCTGAGGCCAGATAAAGTGGTCCACACATTAAAAGCAGGTAGCCCCTTTATGCTGTTACCAACGGTAAACGTAGAAATAGAAGCCGGGGGTGAAGAGCTACCAATTGCAAAGTTTTGAAAAAACTTTCACTGCACACTTGGTCACCGTGATAATGATTTTTAAACATTGCATTTTGGTTGCTCATCCCCGCGGCTTCCCGTTCCACTTTTATCGTAAGTAACAGCGTAAAGGGGCGTGTGTGGACCACTTTACCGCGGACAGCGAAAAGCCGGGCCACTTTACCGCTAAATTGACTGTGTGCCCCGGGGCAGCTGTGGCTACAGTAGTAGTTTGTGTTTGGAGTGAATAATGTGAAGAGACTTTGAGAGTCCTGAAAAGCTCTGTTTAAACCAATGCATGATTATTATGTGATTATATTCATCATCTTCAAAAACCCCAAACCCCTCGAGGCTCAGGAGCGGGCCGCGGACCACTGGTTGAAAAACACTGCTGTACACTACATTAGTTTCAGTGATTATCAGTAGCAGATTACAGCCGTTATCCTTAGAACTCACAAAGCCTGACTGAGAAATGAAAAGGAGTTTTACCGTCGGCGGTGGATCCACAGGAGTCACTCACCGTGTCCTCGGCTTCAAATCATTCTTCAATAGAAATGACACCACTCACTGCAGCAGGACTCCTCGGGGGCCACGGGGCATTTCCAACATGGTCTAAAGCTGGACTGGACTGTCAGGTTTATACAAACATAAAAGCTATACATTTAAAAACAAAAGAGTCTGATTCTAACTGTAACGAGTCAAACTAAAGCAGTCCACAGTTTAAACATGTTTAGCTCCTGTTTCAGATTCTGCTCTTATCATTTCATTTGACACCAGTGAGAGGCCCCTGTGGTTACTGTGGCTCTCCAGGCTCATCCAGACTCATCCAGGGGCCAAACACCTGGATCTGCTGCTGACTAAACCTACGACTGAACTGGTGTAAATGTTTTAGAAAAACTTACTTCATCTTTAAATGAAAGCCTCAGCGTGAGTCCAGCGGCAGCTCTCGGTCACATTAACACATCACAACACCACAGCTGATCTCAGATCTGTTTGATCCTCTTCAGTTTGTGTTATTCTCATCAGACATATTCAACATATGAAACTATAAACTTTCACTCACACATTATCGCTATAACAACATTATTGCTCCAACTGAAACTACATAAGCAATCTGAACAGTAGCGTTAGCATAGATCAGACGTTAGCAGAGGTTCCGTTACCTTGGTGACCGGAGTATCAGGTCTGTTCAGATGAATCCTCCTCCCTCGCGCTCGCAGTGAAGTGACACTAAGTGCTCGAGTTGTGGCTCCAGGGTCAAAATGGGGGAAAGCCTCCTGTGACTGTGTTTACAGGAGCGTCCAGCAGGGGTCAGCACCACTGAACAGTGAAGGCTTTCCCAGGAGCGTCCAGCAGGGGGCAGCACCACTGAACAGTGAAGGCTTTCCCAGGAGCGTCCAGCAGGGGGCAGCACCACTGAACAGTGAAGGCTTTCCCAGGAGCGTCCAGCAGGGGGCAGCACCACTGAACAGTGAAGGCTTTCCCAGGAGCGTCCAGCAGGGGGCAGCACCACTGAACAGTGAAGGCTTTCCCAGGAGCGTCCAGCAGGGGGCAGCACCACTGAACAGTGAAGGCTTTCCCAGGAGCGTCCAGCAGGGGGCAGCACCACTGAACAGTGAAGGCTTTCCCAGGAGCGTGTGAGCAGAGCTTTGCTTCCAGAGCATTGGCCTGATGTCAGTGACCTCCACATCAGATCTGAGGCTACAGACTCCTCCTTCTCCTCCCTCCTTCACTACAGACTCCTCCTTCTCCTCCCTCCTTCACTACAGACTCCTCCTCCTCCCACCTTCACTACAGACTCCTCCTCCTCCCTCCTTCACTACAGACTCCTCCTCCTCCCTCCTTCACTACAGATTCCTCCTTCTCCTCCCTCCTTCACTACAGACTCCTCCTTCTCCTCCCTCCTTCACTACAGACTCCTCCTCCTCCCTCCTTCACTACAGACTCCTCCTCCTCCCTCCTTCACTACAGACTCCTCCTCCCTCCTTCACTACAGATTCCTCCTTCTCCTCCCTCCTTCACTGAGCCTCCTCCTTCTCCTCCCTCCCTCCTTCACTGAGCCTCCTTCTCCTCCCTCCTTCACTACAGACTCCTCCCTCCTTCACTGAGCCGCCTCCTCCTTCTCCTCCCTCTCCTCCCTCCTTCACTACACTCCTCCTTTTCCCTCCCTCCTTCACTACACTCCTCCTCCTCCCTCCCTCCTTCACTGAGCCTCACTCCTTCACTGCGCTTCCTTCTCCCTCCCTCCTTCACTACACTCCTCCTTCTCCTCCCTCCTTCACTACACTCCTCCTCCTCCCTCCCTCCTTCACTGAGCCTCACTCCTTCACTGAGCCTCACTCCTTCACTACACTCCTCCTTCTCCCTCCCTCCTTCACTGCCCCTCCTTCTCCCTCCCTCCTTCACTACACTCCTCCTTCTCCCTCCCTCCTTCACTGCCCCTCCTTCTCCCTCCCTCCTTCACTACACTCCTCCTTCTCCCTCCCTCCTTCACTACACTCCTCCTCCTCCCTCCCTCCTTCACTGAGCCTCACTCCTTCACTGAGCCTCACTCCTTCACTACACTCCTCCTTCTCCCTCCCTCCTTCACTACACTCCTCCTTCTCCCTCCCTCCTTCACTGCGCCTCCTCCTCCTCCTCCCTCCTTCACTGAGACTCCTTCTCGTCCTTCACAACAGCCTCCTCCTCAGCTGAAGAGGTTCCTCCGTGCGTTTCAGACATAAATACTACAAAAAAGACTCAGAAATGTCTTTTGTGTGAAATAAAATATTAATAAAATTTCAAAACACTTATGGGAAAAAATAAAAAGTTAAAATAGTATATTAGCATTAATATTATTGCCAGTGAAAAGTCTCTAACAAACCTCACTCAGACTTTTAAGGAAACCTCTGTGTTCATGAGTGTTTGGTGCAGAGAAGAGTCTGGTTCTGGTTCTGACCAACTGGAAACCCAAATGAGACTGATGTCACTGCAGCTGACGGAGATTTAGAACCAAAGTGAAGATAAAACTGCTTTAGCTTCTGTTTCAAAAGAACATGTTTCTCCCAGAGGCAGAGACAGAGGTCAGAGGTCAGAGGCAGAGGACTGAGGTCAGAGGCAGAGGACTGAGGTCAGAGGTCAGAGGCAGAGGACTGAGGTCAGAGGCAGAGGACAGAGGCAGAGGTCAGAGGCAGAAGACAGAGGTCAGAGGCAGAGGACTGAGGTCAGAGGTCAGAGGACTGAGGTCAGAGGTCAGAGGTCAGAGGTCAGAGGCAGAGGACTGAGGTCAGAGGCAGAGGACAGAGGCAGAGGTCAGAGGCAGAAGACAGAGGTCAGAGGCAGAGGACTGAGGTCAGAGGTCAGAGGACTGAGGTCAGAGGCAGAGGTCAGAGGCAGAGGTCAGAGGTCAGAGGCAGAGGACTGAGGTCAGAGGCAGAGGTCAGAGGCAGAAGACAGAGGACAGAGGACAGAGTCAGAGGTCAGAGGACAGAGTCAGAGGCAGAGGACTGAGGTCAGAGGCAGAGGACAGAGGTCAGAGGTCAGAGGACAGAGTCAGAGGTCAGAGGACAGAGTCAGAGGCAGAGGACTGAGGTCAGAGGCAGAGGACAGAGGTCAGAGGCAGAGGTCAGAGGCAGAGGACAGAGGTCAGAGGCAGAGGTCAGAGGCAGAGGACAGAGGTCAGAGGCAGAGGACAGAGGTCAGAGGCAGAGGACAGAGGTCAGAAGCAGGTTTAAATATGCCCCTTGTTGATATTAAACATATTTGACCTCCTCCTTACTCCTCCTTACTCCCCCTGGACAGAGGAGCAGCTCTAACAGATGATATGAGGAAAACACAGGTCTGAGGCTCTGGCCTCGAAGAGGAAACGTTATGTTTCTAAACTAAAAGACTTTTCTGTTTCCCACAGACCCTTCACATGTTCTGATCCTGAATCACAGGCTCCTTCCTTTTTTCAGTGGCCATTAGTCGCACAGTTACACACAGTTACACACAGTTACACAGCACCAGTTTTATTAGACACAGAACCAACACATTGTGTCAGCAGCAACAGCACGAGCAGAGGAGCTTCTCCTGTTTGAGTCTGAGAAGAAACTTCTGTTTTTAGGAACGAGTCCCACGTAAGGTACTTTAGTTACTGTGAGGAACTACAGTGCCTTGCAAAAGTATTCACCCCCTTGGCATTTTGTGTTTTGTTGCCTCACAACCTGGAATTAACATGGATTGTTTGAGGATTTGCATCAGTTAATTTACAGAACATGTGACAACTTTGAAGATGTCTTTTTTTATTGTGAAGCAAACAACAAATAGGACAAAATAACAGAAAAGGTCTCTGTGCATAACTCTTCACCCCCCTAAAGTCAATACTTTGTAGAGCTCCTTCTTCAGCAGTCCCAGCTCCAAGTCTCTTTGGATAAGTCTCTATGAGCTTGCCACATCTTACCACTGGGATGTTTGCCCATTCCTCTTTGCAATACTGCTCCAGCTCCTTCAAGTTGGATGGTTTGCGCTTGTGAACAGTCATCTTTAAGTCTGACACAGATGTTCTATTGGACTGAGGTCTGGGCTTTGACTCGGCCCAACACATTTACATGTTCCCCTTAAACCACTGAAGTGTTGCTTTAGCAGTGTGTTTGGGGCCATTGTCCTGCTGAAGGTGAACCTCCGTCCTAGCCTCAAATACACACAGAGTGGAACAGGTTTAGCTCAAGAATATCCCTGTATTTAGCACCATCCATCTTTCCCTCAACTCTGACCAGTTTCCCAGTCCCATCCCCACAGCATGATGCTGCCACCACCATGCTTCACTGTGGGGATGGTGTTCTTTGGGTGATGTGACGTGTTGGGTTTGTCGCAGACATAGCGTTTTCCTTGATGGCCGAAAAGTTCAATGTTAGTCTGATCAGACCAGAGCACCTTCCTCCGTACATTTGGGGAGTCTCCCTCATGCCTTTTGGCAAACTCAAAACGTGCCATTTTGTTTTTTGCTGAAAGTAATGGCTTTCTTCTGCCGCTCTGCCATAAAGCCCAACTCTATGGAGCGTACGGCTTATTGTGGTCCTATGTACAGATGCTCCAGTCTCTGCTGTGGAACTCTGCAGCTCCTCCAGGGTTACCTTAGGGCTCTGTGCTGCCTCTGATTAATGCCCTCCGTGCCCGGTCCCTGAGTTTTGGTGGGCGGCCGTCTCTTGGCAGGTTTGCTGTTGTGCCATGTTTTTTCCATTTGGTTATGATAGATTTGATGGTGCTCCTGGGGATCATCACAGATTTGGATATTTGTTTATAACCTAACCCTGACTTGTACTTCTCAACAACACTGTCCCTGACCTGTTTGGAGAGTTCCTTGGTCTTCATGGCAGTGTTTGGTCAGTGGTGTCTCTTGCTTTGGTGTTGCAGCCTCTGAGGCCTTTCAGGTGTGTGTGTGTACGGAGAGGTCATGTGACACTTAAAGGTGTGTATGTACTGACAGGTCATGTGACACTTAAAGGTGTGTATGTACTGACAGATCATGTGACACTTAAAGGTGTGTATGTACTGACAGGTCATGTGACACTTAAAGGTGTGTATGTACTGACAGATCATGTGACACTTAAAGGTGTATGTACTGACAGGTCATATGACACTTAAAGGTGTGTATGTACTGACAGGTCATGTGACACTTAAAGGTGTGTATGTACTGACAGATCATGTGACACTTAAAGGTGTGTATGTACTGACAGATCATGTGACACTTAAAGGTGTGTATGTACTGACAGGTCATGTGACACTTAGACTGCACACACTGTGTATGTAACTTCTGAAGGTAGTTAGTTGCACCAGAGCTTTTTATGGGCTTCATAACAAAGGGGGTGAATACTTATGCACATGCTAATTTACAGTTTTTTATTTCTGAAAAATAGTTTTATGTTTATATTTTTCTCATTTCACTTCACCAACTTAGACTTAGGCCTGTCACGATTACAAATTTTGCTGGACAATTAATTGTCTCAGAAATTGCAATAAGCGATAATATTGTCGTTCTGAGATCATTTTCATCTGATACAATGATAATGATGCAGGTTCACCTTTTCAAAGAGAAATACACTTTTATTTTTAAAGACCACCGACGGAAGTGGCGGAAATAAAAAGCAGCTAGCTTGATGCTAACAGAGTTAGCATCAAGCAACAACTACTGTGTCCCCCAATGTCAATCCTGGTGTAGTCCTGGTGTAGTCCTGGTGTAGTCCTGGTGTAGTCCTGGTTCAGTCCTGGTGTAGTCCTGGTGTAGTCCTGGTGTAGTCCTGGTGTAGTCCTGGTGTAGTCCTGGTGTAGTCCTGGTTTAGTCCTGGTTTAGTCCTGGTGTAGTCCTGGTGTAGTCCTGGTGTAGTCCTGGTTCAGTCCTGGTTCAGTCCTGGTGTAGTCCTGGTGTAGTCCTGGTGTAGTCCTGGTGTAGTCCTGGTGTAGTCCTGGTGTAGTCCTGGTGTAGTCCTGGTGTAGTCCTGGTGTAGTCCTGGTGTAGTCCTGGTGTAGTCCTGGTTTAGTCCTGGTTTAGTCCTGGTTTAGTCCTGGTTTAGTCCTGGTTTAGTCCTGGTGTAGTCCTGGTGTAGTCCTGGTGTAGTCCTGGTGTAGTCCTGGTGTAGTCCTGGTTCAGTCCTGGTGTAGTCCTGGTGTAGTCCTGGTGTAGTCCTGGTGTAGTCCTGGTGTAGTCCTGGTGTAGTCCTGGTGTAGTCCTGG